GGTACAGCACTCATGAACACACACAAAGCAACAAAAGAAAAGTAGCTTTAATTACATTAATGGGCACTCATGTACATAAATGAAGATGAAATACAACAAAGATATTCATTACAGTTGCTTGGAAATAATCATTTTTAAAAAGACAAGAGGCCCAAAATGGAGTCACTTGTGCTAAGTCCATGTCAACAAACCAAGACTTAACACCAACTTAATGGCACTTTCAGCCTCTCCCAAGAACGTGATCTTAACCAGTCTGTCTGGAATTACCTGGTCAGCAGTAGTGAGGTAACCTGCCTGACAGACTCTCTGCCTGTCCCTAAAGGAAGGTGACATTGCCTGAAATAAACCACTCTGCTAATAATGTCCTTGTCTGTCCCCCTTCTGCCTGTAAAAGTCTTCTATTTTGTACAGCTCCTCAGAGGTCCTTTCTATTTGCTAGATGGGATGCTACCCAACTCATGAATCATTAAATAAAGCCAATATGATCTTTAAAATTTACTCAGTTGAATTTTTTTTAACATAATGTAGTAAAGTTTCCCTGAAGAAGTATGTTCCAGAGAGTTGGATGTCATATAACAGATAATACAGAGCCAACCCACAGGAACTGAACCAGCAGAAAATCAAAAATACATAAAATAATGTGAGCAAAGAAACTAGCAGACATGTGGGTATATCTAATTAAGTATTGGAATTAAATAAGACAACAATATATTAATTAGAAAAGAAAGTTAAAAACAATATAGATGCAAAATACCAGACAATAATAATGGGAAAGGAGACAAGATACTAATTAGGAGGCAAGAAAAGATACTAATAAGCCACATATTGATGCTAAAAATGGGGCGCCTGGGTCGTCGGTGGGTTAAGCCTCTGCCTTCAGCCAGGTCATGATCTCAGGGTCCTGGGATGGAGCCCTGCATTGGGCTCTCTGCTCAGCAGGGATCCTGCTTCCCAACCCCCCTCTCTGCCTGCTGCTCTGCCTACTTGTGATCTCTCTCTATTCAATAAATAAATAAGCATCTTTAAAAATAAATAAATAAAAATGTTAAGAGTAATCAATTAACAAAAAAACTTCCAAACTAGTAGAGGGAATCCAGTAGAAGAAAGAAAAAACTCAATCCAAAAGATGGAAGAAAAAAAGAAAAAGGAAATAAAAACATAGAGAAAAGCAAAGAAAAAGCATTTTAAAGTAGAAAAGAATATTCTCTAAGTAAATCAAAATGCAATTAATCTTGATAAATATACAGATTAAGCCTTTCAGCTATACTCTCAGAATCTATATATTACCTATAGAAGATACAGCTAGAGTATAATAATCTTTAATGAAATTTGAAATATAAAAGAGGCGCCTGGGTGGCGCAGTGTGGTTAAAGCCTCTGCCTTCAGCTCAGGTCATGATCTCAGGATCCTGGGATCGAGCCCCACATCAGGCTCTCTGCTAGGTGGGGAGCCTGCTCCCCCACACACACTTCTCTCTGCCTGCCTCTCTGCCTATTTGTGATCTCTGTCTGTCAAATAAATAAACTCTAAAAAGAAATTTAAATATAGAAATATATATACTAAATACTATATGAAAGCTAATGTAGCTCTGCTAGAATCAAGCCAAATAGACTTTAAGCACAAACAATCATTAGGGACAAAGAATGTGAGAAAATACTGTTGAGGAAATCTCCCAGATGGGAGAGCAAAAATAGGAAGCATTGGAAAATAGGAAAAAGAAAAAGAAAATTAGACTAGTCCAAAAGGTGCAGTATCCGAAAAAGAGGAGCTCCAGCAAGAAAAAAAAAAAAAAAAATGGGGAAGAAGGGTGGAGATAATCATCATAGGAGAAAGAAATGAAGACAGAAGACACGCTTTGCCAGACTGAAAAGGGCCACAGTCAATGCCCAGCCAAATGGATGAAAACAGACCCACACTAAGGCATATGGTCAGAAAGTCTCAGAACTCTGGGGCAGAGAGGATACACCAAACTTTCAAAAAGAGAACAAGTCACGCATAAAGGGTCAGAAATCCTAATTATCTCTAGCCTAGAATATTATAATTAGCCAAAGTCAATCATGTGGGAGGGGGCAGTAAAGAGAGATTTGTTTAAGAAAATAATGTTGATCGAATACTGCTTGCATCAATGTAATGAGAGAAGATGTAGACCACTGGCAGGGAGCTTAGAGTTTGAATTAGCGATAAGTACAAAAAACGAAGCAAACAATAAATCCAGCTGTTTATTAACTCTCAGGAAAGTGGAAAGTACAGGGAAACAACCATAGTAGATTTAAGATTCCACCATAAATAGCATATTTGTACATAATCTTGTTTGCTGACATGGAAGCAAATAACAAAAGAATTCCCTAAATAATTTGAAAGTGGTTTGCTCTAGAGTTTTTGTTTTATTTTTTTCAAAATGAGATATTGTCAATCCTTCTTCAAAGAGGTTTTACCAACTTATACTCCCTTGAGCAATGTATGAGAGTACCTACCCATACCGTCGCTCAGTTCAGGTCCCCTATGGAGTTCTGCCAAGTCAGGGTTAGGTGTGCAAGTTTTACCGAGAGAAAGTTCTAGGAAAGACAAACAGAGGAGGTAGGAGCCTCCAGACCAAAATGTAGTTCTGACATGTGTGAATGGGGAGCCCCAGAGCAAAAGTTTCTCATTAGAGCAGTTCTGCATTGAATAGGAGTAGAATATTACCACTACTACTACTAAATTAGAATATTACCACCATCCTTAATTATTGGCTAAAAGTAGCCTGGAGGAAATATGGCTTCAGTTTGTGAACTGCAGCAGATCAGAAAATGCAGCAGCTGTCAGTCAAAACAAAACAAAACAAAACAAAAAAAAACGCATTTATAGCATTTTGGGCTTTCTGAGTATAAATACTCCCACGATGGTCAGTTTCAAGCTACTAGAGGGACAGTGCGATGACTCACTGAATGAATGCTGAGTTTAAAAAAGATGCTAACAATTGGCTTTCCCAAACCAAGAGCAGGTTCCAGGAAGCTATAAACTGAGCTCCAGACAGCAGGTTTTCACGAAGGACAATCTAAACGGTGTACCTTCTTAGCTACTACACTCACCAACCTAGTGTGTTAACAAAGTTTTTATTACAACAGTGTGAAAAGTGAAAATGGTAGGTCAGTATAGTTTGTAGTTTTACTTTGCATTTTAATATGCATGAGGCTGAAGATCTCTTGATCTATTTATACATTGTGTTAAATGCATTTATTATTTTGTAAATATTTAGTGTATTATGGATAAGCTGAACCAATCTTTTGATTGTTATTAAAATCTTTATGACTATGTTCTAAATAACTGAAATCTTAATCTGTTCCTCTTAATATATTAATTCATACAGGAAGTGAAATATACACACTGCTTATCATCTCCTTATCATATTTCACATTTTCAAAATTAACTCCCTTCAATGCCTTCCAGAAGGTAAATAAGAAAGAAATAAATCTACCTTTAAAAGCTTATGTAAATGGAATCTGGAATTAGGAAACAATTTACTATAATTCCTCTTTTTTCCGTAATTTTTAAAGTAATGCGTACAGCATCAAAACACAGTATCTACACTTAACTTTCAGGGAAATAGGTTTTTTTAATATTACTAAAGTTAATTGAGTGTAGAAATTTTATGGGAAAAAAGTCACTGAATAGTTTCTATCTATCTCCCAACATACACAGAGTAACAACAACAACATAGTAGAGATTTCCATCTGAGCAGTTTACAAGGACAGAGTAGAATCTTTAGGGAAATTAAATTTGTAATATCATCATTACAAACACATTTTAAATAATAGATGCATTCTATATTGACTCATTTTTACATTATTAATTGAGATTATTGGTTGCATCCTATTAGCTTGCTGTAGCAAGTTGGAAATCATCCACTATTAAGTTAAAAGCTAGGAAGCCCTGGATGAAGTGGTCTTTTAGGATATTACACATTTTTAGGGATGCCTGGGTGGCTCCGTTGGTTAAGCGTCTGCCTTCAGCTCGGGTCATGATTCGAAGGTCGTCAGATTGAGTCCCACATTGGGCTCCTTGCTTAGCCAGAGGCCTGCATCTCCCTCTCCCTCTGCTCTTCCTGCTTGTATGCTCTCTGACAAATAAATAAATCTTAAAAAAAAAAAAAAGATATTATACATTTTTAGTGTTCCTTTAAGATTTATTTGTTTTAGAAAGAGAGAGTATGCAAGCAGGGGGAGGAACAGAGGGAGAGAAAAAGACTCCTCAAGCAGACTCCCCGCTTAACGCAGAGCCCAATGCATGGCTCAATCCCAGGACCCTGAGATCATGACCTGAGCTGGAATAAAGAGTCATCTGCCCAACCAACCAAGCCACCCAGGTGCCTCCACATTTTAAGTATCTCTAGTTGTGCAGATAATACTGAATGAAGAGAACCTTGAACTAGACCAGACATCAGAAGTCATCCAAGATAGTCTCTAACCACAAATGTACTTAGACAAAATTTAAAACAAAGGCTATAAAGAAGAAATCAAAAAGGCAAAAATTTGAGGATTTTCCATAAAAGTTTTTTTTGTTTGTTTTTTGTTTCTTTGTTTTTTAGTTAACTCAAGCACTGCTACCATATATATCTGGAGAGGAGGAGTCAAAAGTTTTATAGATGCATAGAACACTACTGTTGCCCAAAGAAAATACATCTGTTTCATCTCTTTTAATCAATTACCTAATTCATTACTTTATTTGACCCCCAAATGCTGTTGCTTTTCTTCTGTTCCACCTCCTCCAACCACAACCCCCACCTTTTCAAACTGCAACTTTGAACAACAACCACTGTCCTAGTAATTGGTATTATCAACCAGAAAGCAAGAAAAAGAAGCAGATGAAAATTAAAGTCATTGAATATTATAATTTACGGCAAGTAGGGTAAAGGCTAAAAGTGGTTGCTAAAAAGAAGTTTGGATTATTTGTAAACTCCTTTTATCTTAATTTTCTCAAAATATATGATCCACAGTACTCAGAAAAAAAAAGAAACTTACCTCATCCACATTTTCAAAGGCATTGATGATGTCATAAGGTAAACAAGACAACAGATCGATCACAAACCAAGTTTTCAGATAGTTCATCCTTATCAGTTTGGGGTCAGAAATGACCTCTCCACCAGGTCCCACAAAGGTCGTGTGAAAATTTAAAACAATGTCAACCAGAAAAATAACGTCCACCACACTGTCCAGCACCAGCCAGGCTATGTTGTTCTGCTTCGTTTTGAAGGAAACGTTATAAGGAACCATAATGGCGGTGTAGAAGGTAAGAATTAAAATCACCCAATCCCAAGTAGTTTTAAAAGCACAATAGTGTAAAATAATGTGTGGTGGCGTCTTTGGCGCTTCTTGCTTATACTGAGGAAGGATATCTGATCCCAGCTGAAGAACCTAAAAGAGAGACAATGTGTATATAAATGACTTGTACATCTCTGCATTTAGTAATGAATTCAAACTTACTAGAAGTCAAACCACAGTGTATTTTTCATGACTCCTGGTTTCAAGACCAGTCACACCCTATAGTTTTGTCTCCGTCTTCTGAGTTGTACCAAAGATTGTTCAAAGGAAGTTAATCTGTCTGCTCTTATATCTGGCTTTCTCTCCACTGGCCAACTGTTGGTTCACAAACTGGTCCCCAAACACCAAGGGCAAAGAGAGAACAAAGAAAAGGAAAGACCACTCCAGATCATTAGGTGGCGGTTTAATAAGCAAGGGAACATACTTACAAGGCTTGTCACAGGAAATGGTAAGACAAGTGAACCTCCACACCCACCCACCAGAATCTTAAAAACTTAGTAGATACCCTAACTGGATCCAGTCACATACAGTCCAAATGACCTCAACAACATCCTATTCTTTCAAGGCTATGTCCTTGAAAATGGCTCCCACTGTGGGAATGGTGGGCAGAGGGTGCATTCCAAGGACTGGAATGAGGAGTCTCCAGTTGCCTGGGTTCAGTTCTGGGATCAGCCAGCAGTCACATCCTCTTGATGACTTCCTCCAGCACCAACACTGATCCACGGCACTGCTGGACATCACTTCTGAGATTGCTTTCTGTACACTCACTTGCAACCCTGCCTAAAATCACACATCTCTAACTGACTGTCCAACAGTTATGTGGGTAACTCACCATTATCCATTCTTCACACATATTTAGCACCTCAGGGAGCATAACTTTGATACTGATGTCCTCCCCGAACCCCAGGACCACAATGCTGGTGATCGTGCTGTTGACTGGGACTCAGTAAGGGACCCAATGAGTGGCATAGTGATATCAGGGTCGTAAATGTTATAGCCTGCTTTTTCCTATTCTCCCTTCAATCAGAAGGAAGAATACTTATAGAACTTATAGAACACACTTATAGAACTGTGTTTCCTGTCCAGACACATATTCACTTTGGGGGAAAAAAACTGCTAAATACTCGGGCTTGCTTCTCCATACCTTTTTGACCAACAGAAAAATTTTACTGCAAGGTGATATGAACTTTGACTTACTCTAAGCAGGTCTAACTAAAGAGAAGAAGGGGAAAAGCAGATGACAGAGCAAGAGTAGAGGCCTGGGCAGCCCTGGGCAAAAGTAACACAGATCTTGCATTGCTTTCCAGAACCTGGACCTTGGAAATTGTGAAAAGAAGTTGAAGGAATGAATCAGAGAGTTCTGCTCCATGCCATCAATGAAACTAAGGCTGAGTAAACCTATGGGTTAAGGAGTTTATAAATGGGACTTTGATAAATATTTCCAGCAGCTTTGTCATCTTATATACCCAAGTGTTCAGTGTCTCTGGGAGTAATAGGATCCAGAAGGTAGCAGTCAAAAAGTTATCATAAAGTTATAAATGCATTAAATATCTGAATATAAGAATAGATATAAACAAAAATGCCTATTAGCACATAACTCAAACACCACAAGGCAAAACAAAACTAGCACTTCTTGAAACTTGAGGATTATCCTGAAAAGTTTCTCTTGTGCATGGAACCTATGTAACTGAAAACTAAGTATATAATACCCATTATTAATATCTGAAATGTGAAAAACATCACTAGTATTCTCATTAGTTGTGTATTTTAACTACTGTTTTTTGTTTGGGGGCTATGACAACTATTTAGAAAGATTTTTATGTATTCATCCTCACTATCAGTATCCCAGCCTTATTTCTCCCATAAGGTCTTAAATTACTTAGCAACAAATTTTCCTACCAGGAATGTAAGCTTCGTGTTGGGATAGAGCTTTATGTAGACAGAATCATACATAATCATGGCTTCTCTTTCTCTTTATAGCCACTGGTCTATCCATTCCAATTTCACTGAGTTCAACATGAAAATTTTCTTCATAGTCAATGTTAATATTTTACCATCTATATTTACACAGCCTATAGTTGAAGCACAAAGAAATCAGACTTAGAAAATCAACTCAGTGCCAGGGTGCATTTATGACCTTCATGGGCCCTAGGCATTTTTGCCTCCCTGGACCCCTTTTTCCATAAAAAACAAAATAAAAATTGCATTTTACAAGTGCATTGTTACAAAGAAGAATAAATATTATAAATCCAACTTGTTTACCTAAAAGTTCAATTTTTCCTCCTACTGTTAATAGAAATTCAAACACCCCATGGACCCCTATAAATGCTGTGGTCCCACACACTGCTTACAGACAAGTCGACCCTGCTCAGCACCCTGGCAGGATGTACAATGTCATCTCTAGAGATGGAATGGGACCACCCCTTGGGTTAGTATCCCTTAAATCTGGCTACAAATGAGAATCATCTGGAGAAAATTTTTAAACGATGATATACACATACCTAGAAATGCCCCCCGCCCTGACAATAATTAAAATTCATCTTATGCAATCTTTATTTCCAAAACCTTTCCTGAGTGATTATAATGTACAGTCCAAGGTAAAACTCTTGTCTTATATTTCCTTAAACATTCAGGACCCAGTTCTTCAGACAGTGACTTGCATATGTAAAAGGATCCAGAAATGCTACAAGAGGAGGAGGAGGAGAAGCAGGCCCAGGCCAAGAAAGAGGGGAAGGAGCATTGCATCTGCCACAAAGGGATACTCATGCTTACACTTTGATCTCTCTCATATGCAGAGCACGACTTTAATCTTCACTCTGGACTCTGGGGCGCTTTTATAAAGCCCTGAGTAACAATCCTTCACTATCTCACTACAGACGCTATTCCACTTGTACTTTGAGAAGTGATGAGCCTTAGGTGGCATGGGATAAAAACACATTTCCTGATGTATTTTTGTACCAAACCAAACACGTTTTCCTTCTCTCTGAATATCTGAGAGCATTGACACTAACAGAATCAGGACCATGGACATGATATTGCTACAGATATATATCTCCACCCCTGTAAAAGTGAGCAGCTGAAGCCAGTCTGCGGGATGTCAGTTCCTGCGGATAACTGATGAACTGCCTACAGAGACACCCGGATCTTTGAAACCAGGATCTGGTTCCAAACGTAGGTGTGCCAATGACATTGCAATAAAATTTGTAGGTCTTGGGAAAACTGCAAACCTGAACTTGAATAGCAAATCCAAATTGTCAGGTTGAACACATTATATGACTCCGAGTAACATTTTTTGAAATGATATCCTGTTGCTAACTTGTTCCTTCTTTTGGGTCACAACTCTTGGACCAAGAGCACATGTAGACAAAATATCTTTTGAGAATCTCATTATTTCTTCATGTTCTCTAAAATCAAGCCTATGAGCTGACAGAAAACAGTTTTGTGTCTGAGTCAGTTTTGTGATTAGGGATGACCAATAAAGAAACTATCAATAATCCAAAAGTGATACAAAACTAAAACAAAATCAGACGGGAAGAAACAGGAGTGAAATTTCCTCAAAAATAAAAGTAAAAAATCTGTTGAGGGGAAAGAAACTTCCCACTTGATGCAGAAGAAAAAAAAAAAAAAAAAAAAAAAAAAAAAAAACAAAAAAAACCAATGAGTGTTTCAGGGCACTAAGTTAAAAAGTTTTTCTCTTTTCCTTCCTCTCATTCTTGCCCAGTTGTGCAACAGAAAAGAGAATAACTCTGAATAAGGTATTGTTAAGACCCAGAAGTAATCATGACTATAAAAGACAGCAGTCACAGAAATAAGCCCCTCCACTTGTGTGATTTGTAGGAAAAAAAGGACAACTCAAGGCAGAAAAGAAAGCTTGAAAACCAAATAGTACTTTATAACAAGCATTATTGATAAAGGAAGTTGTATCTAATAGCTTGCTTTAAATCTTGTCCTGATTGCATATTGTCTTTTAAAATATTGTGATTATTAGTAGTAGTTAATATTTAATTATGTTAATATCTTACTGGGACTTTTAAAAATATGTTTGCACATCCAAGTATTCATCTCTCCTCAAGCTAACAGTACTATTCAGAGCAGGAAGCCTTCTAAGTGCCCCATTAGCGATGGTCCAAGAAAAACACCAGAGCCCTCCAAATTCAAGGAACATACTTTACTTCCTAACCCTCTCCAAACCATATTTAATATCTGCCACTAGTTCAGAAAGTTACTCTGGAGCTCTCCGACTCACTCTTCTCCAGCAGAGCAAACTGATGAACATAAATACTGAATTTCATCTTTCTCTTCTTCCGTAAGCTACCTCAGAACATTCTGTGAGCACCCACCCATTCTGTGCTCAGCCAAGTTTTTGTAGTTTAGTTAGCTTTTGGCGTCATTCACACGAGGAGGACAAGGGATGACTACAGAAGACATGTGAACAGCAAAGCTTCTAGCTGCCCTGGAGTCCTGTCCTGAATTCTTCTTCTCTCTGGTTTCAATATACTTTCTTTGGGAAACTTCATCTAGTCCTATGGCACCAAGGCCTGCAATTCAGACCCAGAAATCCCTCTGCCTTTGCAGCATCTTTACTCGGATTTCCTATCAGGCACTTTAAACTTAATATGCCCCAAACTGAGCTCATTACCATTGCCCCTAAACCTTCTCCTCCTCCTCTTATATTTGCCATTTTATTAGCCAACAGCACTATCTACCCAGTTGTCTTGGACTCACCCTCTTTTTCATATTCAAGTCTTACCTATCAACAAATGTGTGGACTCTAATCTTGGAGTGTTTGCTATCTGCCCACTTCCATTTTGGGGTTCCTTGCTGAAAGCCATGGTCAGGCTAGCTGATTTACTACTTAAGTCCTCTTAACTAGTTTCCCTATCTACCCACTCAACACACAGCCACTAGGTTTTTAATGATTTTTGTACCACAGATCCCTTTTGGTAATCTGGTGAAATCTATAGACCCCCTTCTTAGAATCATGTTTCTAAATTAATACAAGAAAAACATGGCATTGCAAAGGAAACCATAGGGACCAATCTCCCTTGGAGAGGTTTCTCGGTAGCACAAATGTGTTCCTATCATTTCCCTAGCACATGGGATATCAACCACCACTGTTTCACTCTTTATCACTTTAAAGTTTCCTTCACCTGACTTCACCCACACTGAACTGATACTCAAAGTCATCAGACTTTCTCGTCTCTGAGCCTTTGCACATGCCGGTCTCCCTGGCAGGAATGACCTGCAGCCCTTCTTTACCCATGTCTCGTATTTTTCCTTCAAGACTCACTCAGCCCAGGTGTCATCTCACTCAGGTAAGCCTCCCTAGAGCCCCAAATCTAGGTAAATGCTCTTGTGTGTGTTCCCCCCTACACCCTAACATTCTGTTTATCACATCCTATTATCAGTTTCTTCTGCTTGACCTTTCATTCCTTGATGGTAGAGCCCATTGCTTATTGGTCTTCACATCCTTTAAAGAGTACCAGGCACAGAGAAAACTCTCAAAGAGTGTGTGCTGCATACATAAAGAGATGAGATGAGTGAACTTCCTATCTCATTTACTCAAAGAAAACCTCACCCTCTACAAATACCACTTGGGATGTCATGAACTAGTTTCTCATTTCAAAAATAAGAGAAAATAAAAAGATATATTTCAAATTTCTGTAATTCCATAGGGGAAAGATAATGAGAAGATACGTACTTGTAAAATAATAACCAGAAATATCTATATTGAATCATTTGGGGGGAAAAAATGTACCACACCCACCATCTTGGGAAGGAAAGCTAGTCTCCCACTTACTTCAGCTAATCTTGAATGTTTGTGGACCACCTCTGTTTTATTCATTGGCGTGAGCTGCTGCAAAACACTTCGGCTATTTGTCAAAGCCCGCGTCAATCGGGCAAATTTTGTCCAACCTTAAAAGAAAGGAGAGAAAGTCTCAGTTTTTCTCATATAATGAATATGGAAGCCAACATTCTTGCTAATATTCAAAGGATCTCAGAAATCACATAACATCCAAAACTAATAGAAGTATCAATCTAAAGCATTTTATTTCTGCATAGACATCATGACATTTCAGGTGCAGCTATAAAGTAATGAGCAATTTCTATATATGACCTTTGTGTTTTGCTCATATCTATTACATCATCTCAGTAGCCAAGGTACAGCTGCCCACAAAATTCTGTGCTCTCCCTTGAATTATATAGACTTGTTACCAGAATGCAGCTGCCCAGCCAGGAAGACCCTTCCCAGCATTCCTTGCATCTAGCTATGTCCATGTCCCTAGCTCTCATCAATGGAATAAGAGCAGGAGTGATGTGGGTCACTCCTACTCATGCACATGTGCAACATAAGAAGGAAATAAGACTTCTTTACACTTTCTTCCTCTTTCTACCAGCTGGATGCGAGTGACAACAGGCCCCAAGGAAAGGTAAAGCTCTGAATCAGTGCATGGGAGATTGTCATATGCCAAGGATCACCTGCCTTGGACTGTAATGTGAGCAAGAAACATGTTTCTGTTGTGTTAAGCCCCTGAAAGTTGGGGGTGGGGGGCATCTAGTAGAACAGCCTAATGAAAACAGTTCTATTGTGCATTGTGTGGAGATAGATATGCATAAGAAAATGAAGCCCAATTTTGACAAATCTCACCTATTACGGTTCATACCACACTTCCATCTTTCTTGTTACATTGACAAATGTTATTTCTCTCTTAACAACTACAGTGATAATCTAAAGATCTTTCCTTAAATATCAAGAATCTCTAATATTGTTTTCTGAAAGAGTAGTAATTTTAACTTCTGGGAGAAAGGGATGTGAATTTAATGAGAAAGAAATTTCTTCTGAGGCCTCAAATTTCCATTATTAAAATAATTAATTTCAAGGAACTGTCAAGGAGATGTGAATAAGTATAGCAAAACTAACCATACTCCAGTCCTATCTCAATTATCCTTTCTCTAGATATCCTAAAGACTCTAATTTATTCAAGATTCCATTAAGACCTTTTGATAATTTCTATGCTATTGTCCCTAACTAGATTATCTGTCAAACAATGCCTTAACAAGGAAAACTCCTGATGGTCCCAAGGAATGACTGTAAAGGCAATGATGAAATTTCAGACAATGTGACAAAAGATGAAGGAAGAAATCCTGGGCAGACACCTGTCAAATGTCTTTCAAACTATACTAGGTAGATGACATCATACTTTAATAACATTCTTCAGGCTAATTCTGACTTCAGTTAAGCTTTGTGTTTCCCCACCAATTCAGCTCTGTCTATGGTATCCAACAAGTGGATTAGAAAATAAGTAAACTGGCATCAGTTGATAGTAGGCCCTTAATTCTTCATTAATGGACTTTATACTAGTGACCAGAAGAAAAAAAAAAATGTTAGCCTTTGGGAAGGTAACCCTAAGACTAACCCTGTGTAATGTGCTTTAAAAAAAACAAAAACACAAAAACAAAACAAAACAAACCCACCAGAGACTGAAGGGTTGCTGGGGGAGAGGGGGGATGGGAGAGGGTGGTGGGGATATGGACATTGGGGAGGGTATGTGCTATGATGAGTGCTGTGAAATGTGTAAACCTGGAGATTCACAGACCTGTACCCCTGGGGATAAAAATACAGTATATGTTTATTAAAAAAAATAAATAAATTTAATTTAAAAAAAAACCCACCAGATATGCCACTAACTCTCCAAGAACTTAACATCATTGTAAAAGACAAATATGCAATCTATATCACCAATCTAGACTTTTCTTCTGAGCACAAGACCTATCTAGTATCTAACCAGCCATTAGCTACCTCTTACTAAGATATTCTACAGGCATCTCACACTCAACATGCCCAAAATTGATCTCATCATCTCCCTCCATTTCCAACTCTGCATCTTTCGTGCATTCCTGGACTTGGTGAATGGGCCCACGATATTTCTGTCGCCCAAATCAGAAACTTGAAATTCACCATCCTCCTTCACTATTATCTCCACATCCACATATCCAGTCATCTCTAAGCCTTATAGTCTATAACTTTTTAATAAATACTCAAGCTGAATTTCCTCTCTCCATCCCTATATGTCAAGGAGCATATCATCTTCCATCTAAGTTAGGAGGCAGCATCTTAAAAGACTATACTCTCTACCTGCTCTCTGACCATATACTCCCCAAGCAACTCTCTCCATTGCTGCCAATGTGCTTTCTAAAGCACACACGTGGCCCACGCCCTTCCCCTATTTCAAACTCTCTAAGAAATCCCTGGAGGCCTCCAGGATAATGTTGCATATCCTTGGTATACAGGTGATTTAGTTTCTGATCCCAAAGGTCTGCTCTGCATTCATCTCCTTCTACGTCTTCATAAATACTCTGTATTGCAACCTTATGAAAATCAGTAGCAAATTTAAAAAAGAATAAATTCAAAATTAAAACTAAATCTGCTAGGAATTCTCTGTACATCCCATGATATTCAGTACTTCCAGGCTTCATGCACTATATCACTCTGCCTGCCTGAAATGTTTCTCCTGGCCCCACCTGTCTAGCCAACAATTTACTGGCACCTCCAGACTCAGTTAAAGCACTATCTCCTTCCGGAAGCTTCTCTGATCCACTCATAAGAGAAGTACCCTCCTCTGTGCTTGCACACCATAAGCTACATACCTCACATGGCACGAGCAACACTAACGCAAGTTGTTAACATGTCATCCATTCTCACTATTGTTCTTCTCTCCATATTCAGCACTTGATCAGGGCCTGGCCTAAAACAGGCCATTAACTAACTGATTAAGGCTTATTTGTTACTTTAAAAATCAGATCTAAAATAAGCCCCATTTTGTTTTATCATCATTGGGTTTGGTATGGTTTTACTTTGTTGGGTAAAAGTGGTAAAAGTGCCTTCAAATGACAGTAACAATGTTGGCAATTGAAATATTTGCTGTGATCATTTTTCTTTCTTACTTTGACTGGGTATTATAATTGCACTAAATAGTTCTAGCAACTTACAAGGCAATGTTATATTTATTGAAGCTTCCTTTTCCTAAGACAAGTGATGTTACACATCTTAGTACATCCAAGTGTCAGATTTAGTAAGAAGCCCATTTTTATTCCCAGAGTAAAATAAGGTTTATCCAGAAAATACTTTAAAAAAATTAAAAGATATTGAAGGAATAAATTCACTGACACACGGAAGAATACAAATCATCAAATGGCATGCGTTCTCTCATTTCCTAGGATCGTGGCTAGGGTTCGGGCTTTCTTACAGTCCTCAGTTCTAAACAGTTAGCATCTTTTTTCAAGACCGCTAGAGCACCCCTTTCTCCTCACTCTCAGCAGAGTACCTTGTCAAATGCTATTGAATAAACAGAACCCATAAGAAACATGATCGATAGCCCTCCATTTCCCTTCTGTCCCTCCATCTCTAGACCCACCTCTACAGCACTGATTCTTGCCTGCACCTTTATCATCTCAAAGTATTAGACATTTGCTCTTTTCTGATCATGCATATATTCTATTCATGGACATTTAAGTAGTGTCTAGATTTTTCGCTATCCCTAACACCACCACCAGTGAATCTCCTTATGCCTATCCCCTTGTGTCCTTGGACACATCTGGAATGGCCTACATTATTAACTAAATTAGTTCAGTTGGTCCGTCATCAACCCCCACTATACGGTCACACTTTGAAGAAGTTCAGCAGCCATGCTGTCTAGGTCAGAGAAGAAAAGACACATCAGCAGTTCTAACTTTCCCCAGCGATACATTTACTGATCTCACCTTTACAGAGACCTCACTGGTGTCACTGATTACTCAACACAGTTCGCTGAAGTTTCTTGGATGTGGTCGATACAGGGTAATGTGAACAGACAGCTGAATATGAAGAGCCTAATACTTGCTCTATGAGTTGTTCATGGAATTATGAGAACATTTGTTCTCCTAAAAGCTCAGGATGCCAACTCCTTCTTAATAAAACATTAGTTTAGCTCTATTGGGTTGCAATTAACCTCTCTGTCATGCACTGCCTCATCTTAAAAATAAGAGGAAGTCACAGAGGCAGTTAAATCAATCTATTAGACTGCAACACAAGATTCTAATCTATACGAGAAAAGCTTAGGTAAACAATTATACTCTTGGCCAAAGAGACTACATGGCATAATTACTCATTTTTCATCTGTTGTTTCCTCTCTAAAGAAAACCATTGGCTTCCCACAGGGGAAGGTTGCTATTTTTGCTGTTAGCTTCATTCTATAAGAATTTTTTGTCTCAATTATTGGCATGAAGATGACATAACTATTTGGCACAGAGTATTTCACACTCTGAGTGTCTTGGCAGTTTTGGAATCTGTTTGAAAATATCCGTACAGGATAAACAGGCAGAGATTTTGGCCCTCTTTTTGAGAACACATATGGATAATCAACAGAATGGATTTCTTGGCTGTCATTTTTCCCCTTTGTATTATCACAAATGATGAATCAGGTACCATTGACTGATTATCTGAGCAATAGTTCCAAGACTTCAGTACCAGGAACAAAAGATAACAAAAATTATTTGCCCCCTTAAATTATTATCAGTAAATTTCTTGGTTCAAAGCAATTCAATTCTGTCAGAATCAGCGTTCTCGACTTGTGCTTAATTGCTGTAGGAAAAAAGGAGAGCAGGGTGTTGGGGTGGCCAAACCACAATAATAAGTTTCCACTGGAAAGGATGAGACAGTATGGTGCAGTAGAGAGAACATGGCACTGGCAATCAGTCACACTTTGTATGTCAGGATCTTCAACCGTAAAATGGATATAATGATACTAATTTTCAGAATTATAAGGAAGAGCAATAAAGAATGTAAAGTTCCTGACATACAGTAACTACTCCATCAAAACTGGATTCCTTCCCTTTCCATGGTTTTTACTACCATCCATCATGGTAGAAATCAGAGG